CCCCAAAACCCCAAAACCCCAAAACCCCAAAACCCCAAAACCCCTGACAAAGGAATTCAAGTTGAATTTTATAGTCAACTGAGTTTAGAATTAAGATCTCTTCTTTCCTCTTCCTCTCTTGTTCTGGTTCTTGATTCCGAAGACTGGTTCTCCACAGACGGTTCTAATACCAGAGTTCTGGTTGTAGGTAGCATCGAAGAATTGTCCGAGAGTTTTCAAGTCGTGCTCATCTTCCTTCTTGACCTCAGTGAGAGCAATACAGGTAGCGGTCTTCTGGTTGACAATCTTTCCGAGTCTAGCCTTTCCCTTAACGAAGCAGTATGGGACACCCATCTTTCTGCACAAAGCTGGAAGGTGGATCATCAATTCGATTGGGACGACATCATGAGCGATGGCAACGATCTGGGCTTGCTTGTTCTCAACAAGGGTGGTGACGTGGTTCAAACCGAACTTAGCAACGAGTGGCTTAGTACCTTGGGCGGCTTCCTTTCCATCAGCCTTGTCCTTAGCCTCTTCCTTGAGTCTCTGTCTCTTCTCAACCTTGTTCTCTGGAGTGTACTTAGCCAAGAGCTTGAAAAGCTTGTTGGCCTGGTCTCTCTCCAAAGTGTGAGTGAACTGGTTGATGGCTCCTGGGACTGAAAGTCTCTGGAAGATGATCTTCTTCTGTCTATAGCAAAGGTCTTAGACTTTGAAAATTTTGCACTCCAAGAAAAATCCTTCCTTGGGACTTATAAAATTTCCAAAAAGTTTTTGCCGTGCTTCTCTGTCCAAAATAGGCAGCAAGCGATCAGAGCAAAGTAGAAATAGGTAGGAAAGCTTACCTTTGGATTCTAACATATCTTGGCCACTTCACAAATCTGGAGAGATCTCTCTTGTATTGGATATCTCCACCGATTCTGAAGTTCTTCTTCTTCTTTGCAAGAAGATGGTTTGGAAGGGATCCCTTGTTTCCCTTTCCAGCTGGAGTGGCGACTACTCTCTTGACTTTGGCGAGCTTCTTAACCTATATCGAGAAGGTTTAAACAACGCTTGCCAAATTAACGCCTTACCATTTTTATTGATAAATAATATTAATTAATTTATGATTTAATTATTTATACACTCCAATCTGCTGTTACTAACTAGGGGTTTTGGGGTTTTGGGGTTTTGGGGTTTTGGGGTTTTGGGG